TCGATTGAAAATTTTTAGAAGAGTACACTTAGCATTGTCTGGCAGTTTTTCCAAGAATACTTAAAGGTATATTATTCGGGTCCAGGAGCAGAGTTTTTTGTAGTATTAAGGGCAAAGTTAAGTTCATCTAAGGTTAAAGGAATATTGAAGGAACTATTATCTCTATCTTCACAATCGAGCTGTTGTTTTTCTGTGATGATTTTGTGTTGTATAAACTCTTCGGAATAGTTGCTATTGCTGGAGTTTTTTTCGAAGTATGTAGCAAAAGCATCAGCTATTTCGTTAGGTTTTGTTATTACATTAGTATTATGAGTAATAAAAGGCACTTGGTAAAATTTGTTTTTTCCTGATATTTTTCGAATATTGGACCAGACTGTAGATAAAGGTGTTATACTGTTTATATTTGAGACAAATTTTCTCCAGTTGGTTTTTCGAGCATTTTTTGTTATATATCGAGCATGTGCTCTCTGTTTTTGTATTCAGTTATGTTAGTTGTGTTACTATGTTTTTTCATTCTATTAAAAGATGCTTTATATTGCTTGATTGCATTTTGACATTCTGTATTCCACCATGGTAGAGGTCTGTGTTTTCTTAATATTTTAGTTTTTTCTATATGTGTTTCTGCCGCGTATGTAATAATATTCGTAAAAATGTTGAGATTTTCATTTATATCAGTGTTTTCAAAACTAGATTTTTGTGATTTTATGTCTGTTTCTATGGCATCAGTGTACTTGTCCCAATTAGCGTTTTTCAGGTTCCATTTTCGGACTGGTTGGTATTCAGAGATAGTGTCATCAGAAAATACAGAAATTTTTATTGGGTAATGATCGCTCCCATATAAAAAGGGTAGGGGATCCCAATTAAGAGCCATTGAAAGAGTTGGGTCACAAATCGATAGATCGATTGCCGATGTTGTACCAGTATGTACATTAAATCTGGTTGGTCTTCCATCATTGAGAATGTTTAAATTTTCTTCAGTTAACAAGTCTTCGATTAGTCTGCCTTTGATATTTTGTTCAGCCCCACATTGGGTTGTGACTATTGAAATCTCCTACTATTAGCCTGGGCATAGGTATTTGTGAAATGAGTGCTTTTAAGTCGGTTAAGGTGAGAAGTGTATTTGGGGGAGTATAGATGCAACATACATTAATGCATTGGGAAGCTTTAACTGAGACGGCTACAGCTTTGATGTTTGTTTTTAGAGGAATCGTTTGTGCTTCAAGAGTATTTTTAACATAAATGGCCACTCCACCACTTGCTTTTTCCTGCTTGTTTCTATTTTTATAAAATGTTGAAAAATTTTTAAATGTGTGGAATATTGGTCTTTGAAATTCGTTTCTGGAGACAATGATACGGGGGTAATATCATTATTAAAGTTTTAGTATTTCATAATGGTTATAAAGCCCATTTATATTCCACTGTAATAAATTGAATGTTATAGTGGTAATTCTTGAATGTTTAGCTCCTGGGATAATTCAGTCGATGTATCTGTGTCAGGTTATTCATCCTCATAGTTGTCTTTTGAGAGCTGTCTCGTAATTTTTTTGTTTAGCTTTGTACATTTCAATTTTATTGAGCGCTCGGATGTATATGAATGAATTTTGGTTAAGAGTTGTCTATATTCTGGAATGTTTACTGTATATTTATTTATAACGCTGATAACATCTTTTGTTTCATGAATAATTGAAATATTAATAAAATAAAAATGTTTTCGGAATTGAATAATTCTTTAATTGGTTGCATTAGCGTTTCTAAAGGTATTGTTGGTATTTTTGTTTTTATTCTTTTTTGTGTCTAAGTTGGCTTTGAAAATACAATCATCACTAGCCGATGTCTCAATCGGGGGTAATATTGCTCCAGATAAAGTTCATTTGGAGGACGATTTAGATGTATTTTCCTCTCCTAGATGATTCTTTCTTTGGATACGCTAAATTCTTTTGGTGCTGGATTCTCTTTGTTCATTAACCGAGAAAAATTATTGTTTAGACTGGAAGGTGAAGGCTGGTTAGTTATGATTATGTGAGATGATAGGGCTGATGAGGTGGGTATATTTGGTTTGGATATCAATGACATTGTATTATTTGTAGTTGATGTGTCAAAAGATGTTAGGTTGGTTGTAGATAATATTTTTTTTAGTGACGTTAAATTATTTGATATGTTTGTAGAGGTGCATGTTGTTGAAGGTGTAATAGCAGTCGTTTCTGTTAAATTCACTGTAGTAGATTTGTTTTTGTTTGAAAGTATAGCAGTTGGGATGGCTGTGTCTGAGTGATTACATTTACTGAGAAACTACTGGAAGTATGGCCATGTTGTTTGCAAAGGAAACATAAGTTGTCTAGTCTCAAAAAAATTCGATTTATAGTATTTTGGTAGACATTAATGAAGTTGGATTTAGCCCTAAGATCAGTAGTTCGTTTTCTATTACCTTATGCGGGATAGTGGAAGAAACATTGGATATTAGGAGTCTTTCACTTGGAGTAATTAGTCTACGGACTTGAATTTGTGTATTCATTACAGTGATAAAACATCTGCTGTTTAAAATAAAATCATCTACGACTTATTTGGTTGAAAAATAAATACACATGCGATTGTTGGTGATTCTTGATGAAAAAAGAATGTATTTTGGACTGACTAGAGATCCTACTGCTAACAAGTATTCTTCTAATTTAAAATCATTAACAGAATTAAAAACTACTGCTTGTAGCTGGGATTAATAGATCGGTTCTTGTTGTTTTCTAGCTGCAGCTGAGGAAGATAAAGGTTTTTGTGATGTGGATTGCGATAATAATTCATCGCTATGATTAGTGACGTCAAATTGTACTAATTTGTCAGGATCGATCAAAAAGCATGTGTGCTTAGTTGATATCAATGCCGGACAGCTTTTCTTATTGTCATTGTAGAATTAAAATGTGTTGTAGGGCCATAAGGAGAATAGAAAATTACTGTTTGGAATAGAATGTTATTAAAAACTTGATTCCTATTCAAGTGTATGCTAGGACTTCACTTAACCCTCCAGTACTCACGCTTCATTTTCTTGGATCACAATAATAATCTATACGTACTGCAGCTCTAAAAAGCAATATTATTTGGAAATAGTGTTATTGTTTTTTTTTTAAGTTTTTATTAGTTCCACTGCAACCTATAATTGGCTTTATTTTATAAGTAAATTATTGTATGGTAAATTAATAAAAAATCGAAATACAATGAAAATGAAACAAGTAATACTGTAAAAATCACAAATTAAGGCAATAATTAAAGCTATGACCAGCAAATCTACGTTCTACAATGAAAGTTTTGTTTTATTTCAGCACAATGGACATATATTTGCTTTAAACGTCTTGGGCAAGTCAACTAATCACAGCTACTGCATCATTTTCTTGTGTTCTTATTCCTTGCTCTTTAGGAGTTTTTTCATTCATTTTTTTTAATCGAATTTTTTTTTATTTTTTTTAACGTGTGAGTCTTTTCTAGTCACCTTAAGATCAGCAAGACCAAAACTATAACAAATACAGATGAAGACATCACAATGAGAATCGGACAAGATGAAATAGAACAAGTTAAGGATTAATATATATATCTTGGTCAAACTATAAAACTTAACAAAGAGAACCAAACAGCAGAGATCAAGAGACGAGTTAGACTGGCATGGGCGGCATTTGGCAAACTAAGCTACATTCTTAAAAACAAAAGATATCCACAGCATCTTAAGACCAAAGTATATAATCAATGCGTACTCCCTGTTCTTACTTATGGTTCCCAAACGTGGACATCTACAAAAGCAAACATGGACAAAATCATAAAAACCCAAAGAGCAATGGAAAGACAAATGTTGCACATAAGACTAATGGATAAGAAGAGAAACGAGTGGATAAGAGAGAAAACAAAAGTGAGGGATGTTAGACAAGAAGTTGCAAAATTGAAATGGAGATTTGCCGGACACAATATAAGACAAAAAGAAGACCGATGGAACAAAATTCTTATAAGTTGGAGACCGTGGGAATATAAACGAAGCAGAGGAAGGCCCCAAATGAGATGGGCAGATGATATCAAGAAGCACGTGGGCTCTAGATGGATGACTGTAGCGACAGACAGAGAAGAATGGAAAAGGATTGGGGAGGCCTATGTCCAAAGATGGACCGAAGAAGGCTAATTAGATAGATAGACACAACTTGAGTTGTGTACAAGCATATTACATGCTTGTAAAATTACTGCGCTCGCCGCTACGCGGCTCGCGCGCAACTTTTTGCTCGCATGTAATAAGCTTCTTACAACTCTCGTTATGTAATATACTATTTCATGAAAAACAAAATGTGTATTAGTGTAAACTTAAACATTTTTTTAAAGCAAATACATATTTTAAAATTAAATTCGAATATATACTAGATTAGAACATTGTGACTAATTGCTTTTTGAGTAGAGTTTATTTTGAACATTAAGAATTTGCAGTTACTATTTTTACTGGGATTAAGCCACAATTCACGTTTAAAATAAATAATTTATTATAATAAACTTATTTTAAACTTCAATTATGGCTCATTCCCAATAAAAATAGTTATTCCATTAGGATGCCACGAGAACATAGCTTCAGAATGGTATTGTGTATTTTTTAATCAAGTGATTTATTATTGACTTCGTTGTCACCAGCCCATTTATTCAAATAATAACATTCTATACTTTTGACTGTATCTATTATTTGGAATATTCCTTGTGATTAATTATTTATTAAGTAAATTATGTGGATTTTAAACATTGTGTATTTGGTCAAGTAATTTATTAATGTCGTCGTCCATAACCCATTCCTTTAATTAACAACATTCACCACCTTCAACGAGTGACATGGAATACTAGAAAATAATCGATCGTTGCCTCCTTTCACGAAAAATATCATTCGTTATTGTATTTTAATAAATATTGTGGCATTTAGTTAGTGACAACTGTATATTAATTACGAATTTTTGTTGATTTTAGGCAAAAACCATTCTTCTTCTTCGCGTGCCATATCAGAATCGGAAGGTTTATCGATCTTCTACAATATGGAATAATTGTTCTGCATTTGGTATCTGAGTCCATTCACGAATGTTTTTTAACCAAGAAACTTGTTTTCTTCCTACATCTCTACGGCCCTCTATTTTGCCTTTAAGGATCAGTTGTAATATTTTATATCGACTTCCGCTTACTATATGTCCCAGATAAGACATTTTTAGATGTTTAACAGTCTTTAGCAGTTCTCTATCTTTGTTGACGCTCCTTAGTACTTTTTCATTAGTTGTCCTTGCTATCCAAGGTATATTCAGCATTCGTCTATGAACCCACATTTCAAATGCTTCAATTTTGTTCATGATCGATACTTTTAGCGTCCACACTTCTGCACTATACAAAAGTACGGACCAAACATAGCACTTAACCATTCTTTGCCTCAGTTCTAAACTGAAATGGTTATTGCAAAGAAATTTTCATAAAAGTATTTTTATTCATTGCTATTCTACGTTTTATTTCTATGTCTGGATCTAGTTGGTCCGGTATCACAGTTCCCAAATATGTCATTTTGTGAATTTTCTCAACTTGGACTCCATTTATTTGAAGCTTTGCATCGGGATGTGGGTGACGACTAAACACTAAAAATTTGGTTTTGTTTAGCTTATTTTAATACCCATTTCCCTCCTATCTCGTGAATACGATCAAGCAGAATTTGAAGACCTTCAATATTATCTGATAGAATCACTGTATCGTCTGCATATCTAATCACATTAAGCAGTTCCCCGTTGATTTTTATTCCATATGGTTGTCTCTCAAGTGCCTTTTTAAATAACTGGTCCGAGTAAACATTGAACAATGTTGGCGACAAAATGCAACCTTGTCTGACTCCTCGTTGTATAGAGATTTCATCGGTGTAGTTATCTCCAATTTTTACGATAGCAGTTTGATTCCAGTACAAATTTTTAATGACACGAATATCCTTGTCATCTATTCCGATATTTTTCAGTATTTGTATTAATTTTACATGCTGTACTTTATTCAATGCCTTTTCGAAGTCTACGAAACATGCAAATATATAAAAAAAATTGTTTAAAATCCTTTATAAAAGGTATATAAAAAATGCCCCAAACGGGCTATCACAAACACATTGCAAAACGTTTTCGGATTGATAAATCCATCATCAGTGCAAACCTGAAAGTATATAACCACTTTAATTAAAAAGAACGTTAAATTAAAATGTTGACAAAGGTTAGAGCAAAATGTGGTTAATACTTACGGTTGTACATGCTAGTAGCCACCAAAATATATGGGTCAAAACCCTTTAAATGTTTTAAATTTGTAGTTGTTTTACATTATTAATAGTTATAATTTGTGATGTTTAAGTTACCGTTGGATAGGTAACATGGCGGCGTATGACTCTACATAAGTAAAATGGTCCTGAGACGAAGTGTCTACGAGGACCTGTTGATAACAACTGATCAAAATGACATTGTTGACATGTTAGGACGGATGTTGTGTCAGAGCAGTCAGTGTAACTTACGGTAGTTGTCTAAAAATGACAGATGTCAGCCTTATTTAAAATTGAAAAAAGTTAAAATTATAATAATGTAACAGTATCAACCATCAATATTGTAATCTGTATTGTAAATTAATCAAATAGCTATATTTGAAACATTGAAAATTGGTTTTTTAAAAATTAATGTGGGTCAACTGGAATTTATGAAATTTTGTAGGATTGATAGGCAACCAACTATACATGTGTAAGGATCTATTTATTTTAAGCTAAAGATTTTGTCAAAAGGCCTGTAGTGTGAACATGCATGTTACAACATACAGGCCTTTGACAAATCTTTAGCTTAAAATAAATAGATCCTTACACATGTATAGTTGGTTGCCTATCAATCCTACAAAATTTCATAAATTCCAGTTGACCCACATTAATTTTTAAAAAACCAATTTTCAATGTTTCAAATATAGCTATTTGATTAATTTACAATACAGATTACAATATTGATGGTTGATACTGTTACATTATTATAATTTTAACTTTTTTCAATTTTAAATAAGGCTGACATCTGTCATTTTTAGACAACTACCGTAAGTTACACTGACTGCTCTGACACAACATCCGTCCTAACATGTCAACAATGTCATTTTGATCAGTTGTTATCAACAGGTCCTCGTAGACACTTCGTCTCAGGACCATTTTACTTATGTAGAGTCATACGCCGCCATGTTACCTATCCAACGGTAACTTAAACATCACAAATTATAACTATTAATAATGTAAAACAACTACAAATTTAAAACATTTAAAGGGTTTTGACCCATATATTTTGGTGGCTACTAGCATGTACAACCGTAAGTATTAACCACATTTTGCTCTAACCTTTGTCAACATTTTAATTTAACGTTCTTTTTAATTAAAGTGGTTATATACTTTCAGGTTTGCACTGATGATGGATTTATCAATCCGAAAACGTTTTGCAATGTGTTTGTGATAGCCCGTTTGGGGCATTTTTATATACCTTTTATAAAGGATTTTAAACAATTTTTTTGTGATATATGGTATACAGCCAGCTACAGGAACTTAGTTTCCTAGTGGAATGCAAATATATCTTTTTTACGAAAATTTTAAGAGTGTGGCTCATTAGGCTAATTAATCGATATTCTGAGCATTTTCTCGCATTATGTGTTTTAGGTATTGCGACAAAGATGGATTTGAGTCACTCTGCGGGAATCACTCCGGTGTTAATATGGAATTAAAAAGTATTACTACTACTTATGTTATTATTCTCTATTTGTTTCAGCAATTCAGTTGGTGTATCATCTGGACCACAAGCTTTTCTAATTTTAGCACTATTTATAGCGTGTTCTACCTCGCATTTCATAATTTCTTGGCCGTCAGTACAGTTTTGGTAGAATTCGGCAATATTATTCCTGTCATGTTACTAATTTCTTTTAGTTTTTTGTGCACATTAAATAAGTCGGATTTAGATATTACATTACATTACAAAAACCATTACTTTTGGCCATAAGTTAGGCTCAGTAAGTAACAAGCCTTATTTTGAAAACAATACAAACTATTTTCTATATTTCTATAACAATTCGATGTCTGTTTAGTGAAAGATTTGTCTTTGATGGTAAAATATTTCTCATTTGGACGTTCTTTTGTAATCTGCCGGAAGTGTCAGAAGTCAATTGACTTTTGACACTGATGCATTGTTATTTTTCTTAGTACTATCGACCAAATAAAATGTTTTCGGTAAAGTCAAAATCTAGTCAGCTAATTTTTGCACCTCTGGTCGTTTTGAAGCGTCTTTGCCTTGTTATTTTTATACAGATAACTAAATTTTACTTCGAATTTATTTTATTTATTCTAAGTATTGTAGTTCAACAGTTGTTCTGTCAGGTAGATACAATATTTTTCTGACACCATATTTTCTGAGATCTCACAGGTGTGTGATGGTTATTCTTAATATTTTCTTTCGACTAGTTTAACTTATCACACCCCAGCAAGACAAATGTGAGATGATTCTGCACCTGTAGAAAAAGACATACTATACCATGCATACTTTAAAACTCAAAATATATGAGTTACATAACATAGAATACTAAAAGGTGTTTTATAAAGGTTTTTATAAAGGTGTGACATAATATAAAAAAGTTTTTATTTAAAATCCTTTATAAAAATAATAATAATAAATGTATACAACAAAATACCCAAATGGGCTATATCACAATTATAGAACGTTTTCGGAATGTACATTCCATCATCAGTGTAACTTCAAAGGATATAACCACTTTAATTAAAAAGAGTTTTTAAATCTACAACAGTATGACTTTAGGGTAATATGCACAAAGCAAGTCTAGAGTGGCAAATACTTTACTTTTATGTATCAATTTTTTTCCTACTTGTGTAGTTGATAATGTCGTTAACGACAATTTAACAATAAAAAATGTTTTAAATTTATTTATCCAGGAACAATTACATAAGTTGCTAATTAGAGCACAAAAAAATATCACATCTCGTAGTATTTTTTATACTACAAGTAGCGTTTCTATTCTTACAAAAATGTTTGTACGTCACTGGAAGACTAAGACTAATTCTAAATGTTCATGACCAGTTTTTAGAATGTATTGCCTACAATTTTGGAATTATACTATAGATCTTAATACATCTTTTATTTATTTAATTTGGTTTTTTTCTAAAAGATATCTATGAAAAAAAATGAAATAAAACATTTCTGAATAATTGATTTTGCAACAATCATAGCAAAAAATATTTTTATAAATAAACGTAACGATTTGCCAGAGGCCATTGTAACATCTATTGTTTTTAGTGATGTTATTTTTTTCTTCATTTAACAATGTCATCAAAATAAGTTGCAAAATTAATAATATTCGGCTTTATCTGCTTACAAGGTTTTACGATCAGATAAAATCATATGCATACAAATATGATCTTCCAGATTATGCAGATAACAACCGATAATCAATATTAACTTGTCATATTATGTACTTATGTAATATTTAAGAATATACTTCTACATAATCCTGTCAACATAAAATTATTAATTTAATCTATTAACAACAAATTCATACAGTTTAGGGGGGAGGCAACAGTTCTCGTTACATTCAAGAATTCTGTCGGATTATTTAATACATTGTTGTATAGATTTATTTCCCCTCATTTGTAGATAATTATTATCAAATATTATATAAATATTAATCATGGCTAATACATAGTAACGTTAATCATGACGTATTCTTCTTCTTCTACGGCACCACAGCCCAAATGAGCCTTGGCCTCCTTTATTTTTTGCCTCCTCTCTTACTTGTCTCTGGCTGATGTACGTAGGTCATGACGTATTCTTCTTCTTCTACGGCACTACAGCCCAAATTGAGCCTTGGCCTCCTTTATTTTTTGCCTCCACTCTTGCTTGTCTGTGGCTGATCTTCTCCATACACGGACTCCTAAAAGGGCTTGTGCGTCGCTGTTTACTTTGTCTTCGAAGCGCTTTCTTGCCTTCTTAACCAGTCTCTTTCCCTGCATTTTAGAATTAGTGCTCTTTTTGGTAGCCTATCCTCTCCCATTCTTATCACATGTCCGGCCCATTGAATTTGTATTCTAATGAAGTCTGACTGTGGTGCTTCATTATAAAGTTAATAAAGCTCGTTGTTGTATCGACTTCTGAAGATTTCGTTTCGACGTCACAGGTCCTAGTATTCTCCTCACAACTTTCCCTTTGAATTGTGTCGAGTATGCTTTTGGATGTTTCTGTCAGGACCCATACTTCACTGCCATAGCATGCTATGGGTCGAATTAAGGTTTTATCGATTCTCATCTTTGTATTGCGGTGGACATTTTTAGACTGAAATATATGGGAGAAGGTAAAATAAGCTCTGTTTGCCTGCGTTATGAGAATACTTAAGATCCCGTGGACTGACCGAGTCACAAATGAGGAGGTCCTTAGAAGAATGAATAAGAACCGAGAGGTACTGACCACCATTAAATCTCGAAAGTTACAATTCTTCGGACATATTATGCGAAATGAATCCAGATATGCTCTCCTTCAAGCCATCCTGCAAGGAAAAATATTTGGAAAGCGAGGTCCAGGAAGAAGAAGAACATCTTGGTTAAAGAACCTCAGAATCTGGTTCAATACAACATCTGTGCAGCTTTTCCGCGCTGCTGCAGATAAGATAAAGATTGCCATGATGATCGCCAACATTCGTAACGGATAGGCACATCAAGAAGAAGAGCCTGCGTTATTCTCTTTCGTATTTCTCCATCTTCTGATCTGATCCGTCGGCATATATTTTTACTCTCATTTGTATAAACTTTCCAACCATTTCAATGTGATCTTTATGTATAATGTGTTATGGGACTATATTTCTTTTCGTCTGTATCATTATTTTTGTTTTTTTTTGTGTTAACCCGGCGCCAGTGTGGTGGGGTATGACATACTCGAGTGAGTTCAAAATTAGCGCCAATATTTTTATCGTAAATTAGCGCGACAGGCATTTCAGTACCTTTCGTTAGAACCTTGAAGGAGGTCTCGCAGTTGTTGATTTACTTTAGAATTGAACGCACGCATCACTGTTTTGATCCAAACGTCGCACATAGGAGTATTTCTCATAAAAAACCGGACAAAATTATTTCACTATTTTTATGTAATAAAAGTCAATCATTCATCATTAGTAATCATTTATTTAAAAAGAAAAACATTAGTTTTTCTTTTTATTTATTTATTTATTTTTGTTTCTCGCCAACTAATGGCCATTGGCAGGGTATAGACTAAGAGCCTATATAGGTGAAATTTGCTAATTATTTTAGGCACGATAAGATCCTACAACTTAAATAGTAGAACTTAAAAGAAAACGTATAAATACTGTGCAGTCACTTTTTAGTAGCACATGCGTCGACAGTGGCGTATCAACCTTTTCACATATGGACGGGATAAATAAATTAAAAGCTACCCTCTCTCACTCCCAGAATTCAATTTTTTTAAGTTCAATGTAATTAAATAATACGACTCATCGTAATTTTAACCTACCACCACCTTTCCCCTCCCCCTCCATCATAAAACTTAATTTTTCGTGTTTATTTTTTTTAGATGGGATGAAATCAATTTTATAATTTCAAAAAATTCACAAGGATAGTTAAGACTTTTAGCTTTTTTTGGGATGGCTGCAGGTCTAATTCTTTTTTCGACTTACTTATTTTACCTTTATTTTATCACTGTATTTTATCAAACACTGTATCTCCAATTTTTATCAGATTTTTTCGTAACGTTCGCCACCTTCAAAAATCCGAAAAACTGTTTTTAGAGGGTTTTGGTTTTGGAGATTTTCCTTATTTTATAGACTTCAAAATAGATCAAATCAATGTTTTTTAAAAGTTATATGAAAATTGAAGCAAATGAGTCCCTTAGAACATTTAAAAATGGGAGAAAAACCTTCAAACCTCGCAAAAACCCTAAAAAACAGTCTTTGAGATTTTTGAAGGTGGCGAACTTTTAGGCCTGCAGCCATCCCTAAAAAAAGTTATAGGTTTTTTTCCGAAAATAATAATAATAAATAATATAATAATAAGTAATACATAATAATTAGGCATTTATTTAAAAAGAAAAACAATAATAAAAAAAGAAATTTAGAAATCTAAGAGAGTATTTACTCTCTAAACAGTATTTTTGTTCAAGAGGATAATCATAAGGAGGCCGAATCAATTAGAATCATAGTCCGTGAGTTCACAGGGGATCTCGTCCTCATCATCTTCGTCGTTGGAACTGTCATAATTCACTATTTTCGTGAGAAGCATACTAATAGCTTCCTGGGAAAAGGACTTGCTTTTCTTCTTCGACGCGTCGTTGGGGTATCATATAACCCACCATACAGATAACTTAATATATTTATGGTAGTATTGTTTGAGTTGGCCATTCACATTTTTATATAATTTCCGTTGAAATTATTTATTTTTAATGAAAATATGAAATTTTATACATAAATTATTTATGTTTTTGTTCTAGATTATGGCTTATCGATATGAACGGGAGCAGGCGAGGCTTCAAGCTTTATGGGACGATTCTCAAGACGATGAGGTAGTAATTGGATCTGCAAGCGAGAACGAATCCGAAATGAAGACAACCGTATCATGCAGGTAGCCACAACTCTGACAGCGAGGAAGATGCTATTGATTTAGAACAGTCGGTGGCTGATATAGAAATCGAAAATGAACTTTTGGCGCAAGAACAGGAGGGTCAAAAAAACATTACGTAGGTAAAGACGGCACTAAATGGTCTTTAACATGCTTTTCTATATATGTAAGAACACGCTTAGTAAATATCATTACGCATTTACCAGGTGTAAAACAAAATGCAAAAATGGCGAAAGATTCCCGTGGAATGTTTCAATTTACTTTTTACACCTAGTATGATGGATGATGTCGTAACTTGGACTAATATAAAAATAAGAAGGAAGTCCACTTGCAACGATGAAAACCATCAGTATACAGTTCTCGAAACCAATGCAACTGAAATAAGAGCATTGTTTGGACTACTGTACTTCGCTGGGGTGTTCAAGTCTGCTCGGCTTAATTTAGAAGATCTTTGGTCTACCGATTGAACTGCAATAAGCTTATTTAGAGAGACGATGTCTTTACAATGATTTATTTTTTAGTCTTGTCTACATTTTGACAATATAGAAAATCGAGAAGAAAGAAAAAAACTCGATAAACTGACTGTAATTAGAGCAATTTTCGTAAAATTTGTGCAAAATAGGCAAGACGTCTATATGCCTAGCGAATACCTTACTATTGATGAAAAGCTAGAGGCATTTAGAGGCCGCTGTGGTTTTCGCCAGTACATGCCGAAAAAGCCTGCATGATACGGATTAAAGATATTCGCTCTCGTTGAGCGAACATCTTTAATCATCATCATCATCATCATCATCATCTTTAAGCATCACATAATGGTAGATTATAATTCAACAAAGGGTGGTGTCGATTCAATGGATGAAAAATGTGCCAAATTTACAAGCAGTCGTCGAACTCGCTGTTGGCCTATGGCTATATTTTTCAGAATGTTTGATATAAGTACAGTAAATGCTTATATTCTTTATGAATCTTTTAAAAATAATACTCATTTAGAAAGGCCCAATTTTATTGAAAAACTGGCATTTCAACTTATCCAACCTCAGCTACACAGAAGACTAGATAGAAGTTCCTCTTTACCTAGAAAACTAAAGTTGAGCATATGCGAGATACTGAATATAGATGAACCTCAACAGCGTCCAGAAGTAAAGAGTGGAAAAATTAGAAAAAAGGAAGGACTGTTCTTACTGTCATTAAAAAAGAAAAGAAGAACAGCTTATGTCTGCTTTCATTGTCAGAAACCAATTTGTTTGGAATGTGCGAAACAAATTTGTTTGGAGTGCGCTACACTCTACCAACTTTAGTGACTGTCAGTTTTTTTGTGTGTGAACATTTTTTAAAAATATTATTGTTTTAATGTTTCTTACTCTTTACTTAACCGATTATAAATTTTTATCAATATAGTTTAATTTGTTTAATTTTTATCACATTTTTTTTTCAGGCGTAAAAATTTCTACAAAAAACCGATCCATTCTTGTTATAATATTTTTTATTTTAATAAATACAGATAAACTATATTAATTACTGTATTTTTTGGATAACTAATACTTTCAGTAAGTCATTGCAATATTTTTATGCATCAAGGTATATAAAAAACAAAATACAAAAATATTGGCATATTAAACAATGCTAAAATGTTAAACCCGTCTGTCAGGCGGTTAGTTAGTGTTTACGCCATTGATTTAAGGTGTTAGTACTTACGGGTTAACCTTTAATTGTGACTTATTCCCATTTAAATAGTAATTATTACAGTTATTTACTGGCTAAGTTATTCAGTGGTAACAGAAAACGTTTTCTATTAAAAAAATAAAATACATGCTAAAGTATGTTGGTAACATTTTTTATGTACTAAAGTTTTTTAGGATCTTTTTTAAATTACGAAGATAGAAATGATAAATAAAACACAAAAGCTAAGACAAAACATATAATGCGTTGACAAAAATTGCATAATATAACTTAAAGTGCACAACCAATAAATGTAGCAATAGCAACATATTTCACTCAGTTAACAATAAATAGTGAAATGAGACAATCACACGAATGAAAGTACATATATAAAAAAATCATAATATCGATCAATTAGCCTTGTTCTAGCATAGTCGTCAGCCATGTTTATCGTTTACAATAATTGGAAATAAATATTTTGGTAACAGTTTCATTACCAACCCAAAAAAGGAAAACAAAGATATAAAACAGATATGAAAGATCCTTTTTGGATTGGTAATGTGTTTAGGCGTAAATATATTAGTATTATACATATATTTTAAAAGTCTACAAACTATTTATATTTCAGATATTTGAAAATGAGATATTTGAGTTTAACAAATAATAAAAGTATAATATTTAAATCTTAAATATAGAAGATATGGGAAACGTTGTTATTAAAAACCAGTCAATAAAGTGGAACTCAAAGTTGGTCTTTGTAATACAACAAAGTCGTTTCTAGAAGTTTTATCTAAAACATATTTTCCTAAATAACGCACTAAAGAAAAAGGTGAATAAATTACTCTTATTAACAAGAATGAGATAAACAAATCTTTTCACATGTGTGTTGCTTTATAGAGCTTTAAATCTTTAATATCTGTTTAAGTTTTTAGAGTTGAAAGAACGCAGTCATGATATGACCGTGCATTTATTTTTAAACTGATTAATGAAAAAAATAGGAGTGGCAACTACTTCGTCATACTTCTAGAAAATGAAAATTTGTTCAAAGAAAAACATGAGGTACACAGTTATTTATCTTAATTTTCTTATTGGACACAAAAGATGAATATTTCTAACAAATTCGGAAAATGGCCTAAAATAATTTATTAAAGGTCTCTTTGGGGACAACAAAACCTAGAATAATAAATTAAAAGCATATTCAAATCCTTTTCGATCGCGATATCTTTTTTAACCAACGTTTTCAAGTAATTATTAAGTGAGATAGATAAGTTTTAAAAACTAACTTAAAGATTAAGGTTAGATGTTAAGCTGAAACAGTTTAGTGCGTTTAGGTTCTGAATCACTTGCTCATAAATTTTCTATTAGGTTGTGGTGATGTTAGTTTTTTGTCTTATATATGAATACTGGATAAGAAGGAGGCAAATGACCACCATTTTGCAAAGGAAGCAAATGCTCTAATTAGAATGAACCTTTTTAAAGTCTTAATGAGGGACAGAACTCAGTATGTATGCACCAAGATAGAAATGCACTTATACTTCACTGATACCACCAGTTATATCCTTATTTCATAGAAGTTTAATTCATTTCTTACTCATATGAGAATAGAAAAGTTTGTTTCGACAAAAACTCTTAAGCTACTTTTGGCTGGTTTAAAATAAAACTGAATTTTTAGACATACTTTATATTTATATTTTATTATTTACGCCCAAATGAAAGGACATTATATAATATGAATGATTCTCTATGAATATATACATTGGCAGAATGCTTAAATAAATATTCTTATATAATAACGTTGCTTGATTGGAAAAAGGTAACTGGCGCGTCGTTTTGATGGGATCTGAAAGAGAAGATTGATTAATGGAGTTATTAATTTGATTATAGGCAAGATATTAAATATATTTTTAGCTTTTATGAGTATAATAGTGATTTTCCAGGTCATAAATTTACAAAATAATTTTAAAAATATGAAAATTTGATTACTATAAAAATATTTAAAAAAATATGAATATAATTAAAATGATTGAATTATGTACCAATATTAATTCAATTCATAATATGCGATATTTTGCGACTAAAAATGACCAAACATGAGCGATAAAATGTATAGTAAATAAAATCATTTTAAAAAATTTCTGTAGAAGGAAGAATCAATGTCTGCGTTATTTTAAGCGTCTTTTATTTTTACCAAAACTCCTTTCATTTAGACTCTTAGACATCTTCTTCTTTAAGTGCCGTCTGTTAATCGGAGGTTTGATATATCATCATCACTATCTTTACTTTATCTACTGCTGCTCTGAAGAGTTCTATAGAATTGCATTTAAACCAGACCCTTAAATTCTTCAACCATGACACTCTCCTTCTTTCTATACTCCTTTCTCCTCTTATCTTTAGCTGTATTATCAGCCTTAGCAGTTCATATTGCTGTCCCCTCATTACGTGTCCCAGATATTGTAACTTTCTTATTTTTATTGTGTTTATTATTTCGCATTATTTGCCCATCTCTCGCAATACTTCCGTGTTAGATTCCATATTGCAGTATCGAAAACACGTAGCATCTCAGTGCTCTTACTCTCAGTTCTAATCTATGATCTTTGTTGCAGAGAATTGTTTTGATTTTTACAAATGCAGTTCTTGCTATTTCTATCCTAGCTCTTATTTCGGTTGTTTAATCATTATTGTCTAAAATCCAGGGTCCTAGGTATTTGTATTTATCAACCTTTTCTATCTGTACATTTCCCAAATGTATGTTTGTTGGTATATTTGTTTTCTTTGTTATTATCATGTATTTGGTCTTTTATATATTCTTTTTAGTCCATGTTTTTCACAGAAACTGCTTGTTTTGTTTAGCAGTAATTGGAATTGTTCAGTAGAGCTTGCCATACTCACGATGTCATCTGCATATCTTATGTTGTTAATAGATCTTCCGTTAATTATTATTCCTTCACTTTCAGATAGTAGTGCTTCTTTAAAAATGGCTTCACTACATACATTAAATAGTAAGGGGGACATAATACATCCCTACCTAACTCTTCTCCTGATTTGAATTTCTGAACTGGGTTCATTATCTATTACAATTTGTGGTCTTTGATTCCAGTAGAGGTTTGTTATTATTCGTAAGTCCCTATGGTCTATGTTTTTTGTCTTTAGAATTTGGACTTATTTTTCATGTCTCACTTTGTCAAATGCTTTTTCAAAATTACTGTAACAAACGTGCATATTAACATTCCTAACCATGCATCTTTGAGCTAACATTAAAAGCAAATAACGCTTCTCTGGTTCTTAGTCCGTTGCTGAACCTAAACTGACTATTATCTATTCCTTCTTCCAGTGTTTTATTTATACGGCCATGTTTTATGTAGTAATCGACATACAACTTCTTTTTTTTTGTCATAACAGTTAGTTTAAAATCTTCATTTATTTGGATTTCAAAATAATTTTCAGTTGTTTTCTGCTAAACTTCATATTCTTCTTGATCTCTTTATAATTTAGAGTGTCTATTTGTTAGATTGTAATTTTATAAGTCAAACGTAAGATGTAGGCAAAAGTTCAAAATCATTTGTAGTTTAAATAAAGGACATTTAATGCTAAGATCTAGAAAATTGTATTAATTGAACGTAAAAGATTTGTTATACTTACGCTTCTAATAACGGTATCCATTTCCGTTGCCTCCTCCGTTACCTCCTCCGTTACCACCTCCATTACCTCCGCCGTTACCTCCTCCATTACCACCACCATTACCGCCACCATATCCATTTCCGTTTCCATTTCCATTTCCACCACCGTTAGCTCCTTCGGCAGCGATTTGGTCCAAAACCTTTTGGATTTCTGGTGGGATTGGGGGTGGTGTGGGGAGGTGGTCACCGACTGGTACGAAACCGTTTTCGTCAGCAGTGTATTCAACTTTGATTTCCGTTCCATCTGGGGCTGTGTATGAGTAAGAACCTACTGCGGATTGGATTCCTTCTTCGCCGCCGGGTTTAAGTTCTCCTTCTTCTTGAGCCTTAATGCCGTTGCCTGATTCGTAGCTATGAAACAAAAACAAAAACATTATGTTTGTTGACGGAAAAGTATATAGTTCACGAAAAACTATAAATTACCAAGAAGTGTTTGACACTAAAATAGTTAATAATTTGGATATAAATAAAACAGCAAAAAAATAATTACTTTTACAATTAATAGCTAACAACTTAAAATAAAGGAAGATTCTTTTTGGAGACACCAAGAAGGCGTTCTTTTGGAAACATAATTCCACTGTAGAAAGTGCCAATAAATCGTACTCAAGCCCAGAAAAAAATTTCCAATTTTAAGAACATTAATAGTGGATGGCTTATAGATATGACGCATAATTCACAGCACTACAGTACTACTGTGTACGAACCTTTTACCGCTGATGAAGTCTAAAATATTATCTAGCTTCATAACTAACTAGGAATCTCCTGGGCCAGAGGGAGTGCCAATCTTTTTGCTTAAGAAGTTTTTAAGGATTTATGTCGGTATATTAACATTAACAGGCCGCTGAAGAAGTCAAAAATATTATCGGAGCTTCATAACTAAAAATCTACTGGACCAGACGGAGTGATAGTCTTCTAGCTTAAGCAGTTTTTAAGGATATACGAGGGCTTATCAACATTTATTAATCATGTTTTTTCTAATCTGCAGGAAATACCAGCATTCTTAGGAAACACCTTATTTAATACTTAAGAATTAAAATAACATCCCAGATTTAGCGAAGTACTGCTTAATTATTTGTCTACCAATTTTATGTAAACTAGTCACATCCTGTTTAGACCATCTACAATCTGTACTGTACCAATAATGTGTTCTAAACAGTATCATAGTTCGTCAATAGAAAGGATGAGCTAAAGATTTCATTGGCTCCAAAGAACAAATGATTAATAACTTATTTATTTTTAACCAGGTGTATAACAAAAAAAAAAAAGGAATCTTTTTTGCCCTATAATTGTCTTAGATATATTAAGAACATAAAATAGTGACCCATTTTAAAGTATCCAATTTGTATACCTGGTAGTTCTTGTCATCATGAAACTAACACTGCCCCAAAAATAAACCGCAGAATTTGCACCTCCAATAGGTGCTATTTTACTCTGTAAAGTTCAGAGACCTGGACTCTAACAAAAAGTAGTGAAAACATGTTAGTATTTTTTGAAAGAAAAGTTCTAAAGCAAATCTATGGAGCGGTGAATAACAATGGAATGTGGCTTAGAGGATAGAACTTCGAACTTTATAGAATATATCAGGAACCAAATATCCTAACATACATTAAGATAGAGCATCTGAGGTAGGTAGGAATTGAAATGCAGATAAAATAAACTGATCCAGCCTAAAAGATGCTCCTTGATAGACGCATTGGTAAGAGAAAGAAAAAGATCCAGAACAGTCTTGATAACATCGATGAAGACATGTTATATATGGATAGGGATGACAGAAAAAAAAATCTTAAGGAGGATGGGATTTATAAAGGCTTGTAAAGCCAAAATTATAATGATAAATGGCATATTTTAATACTAAAATACCTTCACGTATCTGATAAAAACGATATGGTGAAACTATATGCGAAACTTAAAATATCGCAATTAATCGGGCCCATTTCAAGAAGACCCGCTGAGTTTACTTTGCTTCTATGTATCAGTAAACCCCTTATCCCACCTACTTAACTTCCACTGACTTGGGTTTTAGCATCACAAATAACATCACTGTAATAACAATAATGACGAAGCTTATTCATCAGTTGCATATCAATTAATAAAATAAATGGCTTCCTCTCGAAACTACCCAGATCAGATGCTAAGAACTGTAGAAAACTTCTCGAATGAAAGTGCTGTGTTCTAAATATACTCAGAAAAAACGGTAAGCTTACAGGGTTGAATATGCAAAATGGCCCAAACATCAAGACGGGTAAAATAATATGTATATGTATATGTATAAATAATATGGAGTACAGTAAGAGCAAGATATTGATAATAAGCAAAAGAAAATCGAGTTTGCTTGGAAATAGTACCAAGAGAGCTCCATTTTTTGATACAGTAGGTATATAGGATGACTAAATGTTTTACTTAGAGTCAGTGTGAGCCGTGTAAATTAAATTTAGATAGCCAACTTAAACTTGACTAGATTTTTTATAACTTACAGCGTAGCAAGAATGTATATTTGCTAGGGTAACACTAAGTTACCTTGAAAAGTCAAAATGAAATAAGCACTGCAGAGTATCCACGAGAAACCTACTCTTGACAGTTGCATTTTTAACTCGTCATAGTCAACTTAGCAACAGCTCTACACACTGGGACTAGTAGATACACATCTATGCCGAAAGTATAAAAGAGAAGACGAAACTATAGAACACATGTGAATGCCCGAAGTTATCGTTAATACGAGAGTACGCGTTTGGCAAGTCCTGGCCCACACCTGCGCACATAAGGGATATGTCCCCTCGTGACTTGTCCACCTTCCTAGAAATGGCAGGATGGCCAATGAGCTAAGGACGACAGCTCCCTGAGAGAATGCTCAATGAGTCAATTGTGGCCTAAATGCTGTGGAACTTAACTCGCCCTCCCTACGCTACAGATACAGAGAGATACTTAAAGTGCATTTTAAACGAAAGTGATCAAGGACAAATCAATAGTTTGACTAATTACGTAAACTTATGTCTAAAAATGAACAAAAGGTTTAATACTGTTAATATATAGGTACTCTACCTCCATTTATAACTTCCATCGCCATTGTTAACATTTTCGTATGAAATAATTGGGATAACGTCACCGTTACCGTTACCGCCTCCATTACCATTACCATTACCATTTCCTTTTCCATTGCCATTTCCTGTAGAATAACCAATAAAAATACGCTTTAGTTTTACTTAATTAGCAAATAGTTAATTTAAATTTATTTTTGATAATTATTACCTAAATATTTCTAATACCTTTAACAACACCATGTGCTATACTAACAATAGTATAGCACAATAGCAATAACTACTACTACCAATAGCTTTACTATTTGATCAAAACAGAAATATATGAGATTATCGAAGTAAATTAAGGGCACGATATTATACGCTCTGTTAAAAGTCAAAGTATGTCACGGTTGGGACATAAAAAACACGGTTCAGAGACAAGGACATAAAAAACAACAAAAAAAATGTTACAATGGAATATAAGACAAAAGACAGGAAGACATTATACGAGATGGTTGAATAAAGTGAAAAACAACCTAAAAACTATGAAAGTAAGACAAAGGGAAGAAGGACATAAGAGAGCTTTGAATTTAACGACATAGCCAAATAGGCAAAGAGCCATCCAGGGTTACGATGCTAAAAAAGAATGCGGACCAAAACAAAAAGAGAAAAAATGTTTATAGCTAAAATACTATCTAGAGTGTGTCAAAAATTTGGATATATCTAGTTTTTGGCTTAAAAGTCCAAGTACTATATAGTTCTATAAGCAATAAGAACGCAATATTATACAAGGGAATATTGACTTAACTTTTAAAATAACTTCTAGTTCTTTACCAAAACCAGAATAAAACAAAGATAGCAACTGTTAAGGTCATACTTTAACAGGAATTTTTAAGACTGCATACGCTTTTTTAAATAGGTATGACAATTAATGTAAAGGTTATATAAGGATAAAGCAAGTAATTTAACTAAATCAAGAAGAAGGTATAACAGTAAATTTACATATTTCCTCTGACTTATATAGACGTTTTAAAAAGTAATAAAGAAAAACAGTCATATTAGGTAAATACATCTTTGTTTACGAAATTTTCCCGTGCTCCAAAAATAAATAACGTTTCTTTAATTATACGATTCTCTCTTACATAAACAAATCGACGATGGTTCGATTCGATCACACTAGTTATTTTTCATTGAGTAATCTACTTTTTATCAGCAAGTTCAACCTATCACGTTCCACATTCACGGTGCTTTGTTATTCTTCTTAACGATCTCTTCATGTATTTTTTTGTGGGTTGGGTAAGTTTTACAAACAGGAGCAAGTAGTTAATTTCGAACGTTACTGGGATCATGTCCACACATTTCGGTCGTGATGATTCTTACAAAACAATGTGTTGGCTATCAGTAAGTTCTGTATTCACTCAATATAAAAAGCGACTTATTTTAAGTATAATATCCGCTTCTGTGTATGTTCTCATAATAATATTCTTTTCGCGAGATGATTTGTGCTTTTCCTGTCTTGTGATTTTTATTGATTATACCGCCCTTGAAAGGATCCAGTTAATTTTAGAGGCATGTTTGTAGTTATTAAGCCTGGATTGTTTTTTATTATAATAGAGATCAATACTAATTTAGAAACCTTACTTATTTATCTCAGTTAAAAACTACAATGTTTGTAATGAGCTACTTCTTCTTTCTTCTTCAGCCTGTGTTCGTCAACTGCTGGACATAGGCATCTTCCATTTGCTTCCATCGATTTCTACTTTTGGCAATTCTCATCCACTGCTTGCCCGCGACTTGTTTGATATCGTCTGTCCACCTTTTCTGCGGTCTGCCTACTCCTCGCCTGTTCTCTCTTGGTCTCCAGTTTGTTAATCTTTGTGTCCATTTTTCGGGATTATCTCGGGCAACGTGTCCGACCCATTGCCACTTGAGCCTTGCAATACGTTCTGAGACATTAATTTTTGTTCTTTCACGAAGGACGTTATTTCGAATCCTGTCTCTCAAAGTAATCCCTAGCATGGCCCTCTCCATTGCTCTTTGGGTTGTACTGAGCTGCTCTAAGGTTTTCTTTGTGAAGGCCATGGTCTCCAGTCCATATGTAGTTACAGGCAAGATACATTTGTCATAAACTCTACGTTTATTGGCACATTGGTATATCTTTATTTTTCAAAATAAAGGTTAATTTGCCGAAAGCTCCCCAAGACAGTTGTATGCGTCTTTTTATTTCGGCTATTTGATTTTCTTTGCCGATTTCAATGGTATGTCCAAGATATATATATATAATATATATATATATATATATATATATATATATATATATATATATATAGTGGTCTACATTTTCAAGACTGACGTTGTCAATAACAAGATTAGTTTGTAAATTACTCATTATTTTTGTTTTCTGAAGGTTCATTTTGAGACCTATTTTATTTGACTGCTGATTTAATTCCTTCAACATTTGCTCCAGTTCCTTGATATCTGTACTAAATAATACTATGTCATCCGCAAACCTCAAATGACTCAAACGTAAACCATCAATGTTTAGACCTTTTTCCTCCCAGTCAAGCTGTTTGAATACATTTTCCAATGCTAAGGTAAAAAGCTACTACAAACTGACATAATAATAAAAAAAAAATTCTTCTTTTTATACAAACAAGCAATTTAGCTGCATAAGTCCTAGATTCAACCACGTCAAATAATACATCCCTTGTAATATTTCGGCGATTTAAAATAGTACTTCCGGTTTGCAACTCTGGAACAGGAGAGGTCAAATTTGTCACTTTTAAAATTATCTTTGGGTTTTAAGCTTTAATTTGACATCTGCTTTGTTATTTTCTCTGTTCTGAATGACTCTGTTCTCATCTTTTCTCATACGGGAGGAGTTTTTTTTGCAGACGGACAGACAGACTAAATAATTCAATGCTTTTACATTTTGGTGTTTTAAAATTGGTCACAACGTTATATAAATTTGCCCGATATATTTGAATTTATTTTTTTTTTTACTACTAAAGATTCTCTCTGGTAGCTCCAGGTATCTTCAACTAGTGTGGAGAATATATTCAACTGGGGCAGCACACCACGGACTTGCATAAAAAGGAAAACACACACGGGAGGTGGGCCTGGAAATCTTTTTAGATATAGTGAGGGCGTTCGATAACACTTTGATAATATCTGCTACCAATGACCCGAGCCGTATAGGAGTCGAGAGTATTTGTTTGAACTGGATAAAATTTATGCTTAGCAATGGAGTTTAGAAATCGAGTTTTAGAGAGTTCAAGTTGTTGACTACAAGGCGGAAGTTATGTTTCCATTGCTAAGGCATCTGGTGATGAAGATACTAATAGGAACTTTAAAAGCAAATGGTCATAAAACAATTGGATCTACGAATGATAGAGTAAGTATTTTCGAGGAAAGTATAATACCGTGGTCAGGGATTTTATAAACCGATCCTTAGAAATAGTGAGAAAATAGACTTATTTAATAAGGCTTAATACAAGTCCATACAAATCCACCATAGTCGTTTTTATACGCAGGTAGAAATTACAGGAATAAGAGGTGCTCTTAAGATTCATGGCTAAAAAAGTCAGCTAAAGGAAGAGATAAATTATCTCGAGTTATACTAGACTCGAAACTTATCTAAAACCAGCAAACATAAAAACTGTGCAGGGCAACACTTAAGAGTCAGACGCATGAGAGTCAGACGCATGTATGAAAATACCTATACAGCGACGATGTGGTGGACTTAAACTAGTGTGATAACTAGTGTCATGCGTACTACTCTAAGAGCAGCTATCGAGACGTTATTAGGCCTTCAATTTGTTAAGCAAGAAGAGGCCATATTGGAAGCCTACAGAATAAAACAATCAATAAAACTTCGCAATAAAGAAACAGGGAATATGAGTATAACAAGGACTGTAATAAAGAACACAAAAGATATAATTTTAAGAATTCATGCACAATGTCTATTCCAGGCATAAATTTATGGAAAAACTAGGCGTACCTATCCCCACGAAAGGAGAAGATTTAGCACACAGACATATCTAAGAACAGAGAGGGTGTCATGGCAGCATTAAATCTCGAAAATTCAAAAATTAGCGAAAGCTTTGCCTTAAGGAAGAAGGCCATGAGCGATATTGATAGGGAATCCCAAAACAAACGCATGGGAAAATAGTTTAGTTTTTAGAAGAAATAGAGGAACTGCTCCATATGGGCAGGAACAAACGAGAACAGTAACAAAAATGTTGACTGAATACCCTGTTGACCCACCGCCAAAGGAAACCAAAAACTGTAAAAGATTTTATAATAGAACATGTAGTTTTTCAGCAACTGGCAGCGGCAAGATACTGGCTTCATACACCAGAGCCCACGATTTCGAATCCCAGCACCAACAACGACATTTTTTGCTAGTCGGCCCCACTGGGCTAGTGTACATCGCCATTAGCTACTTGAAAGAGAGGTTAAAGGGGTAGTTGGCGTAGGAACCTATCCGAAAGGATCTACCAGAAAAAATTCCATACTGTATTATAATATTAAGATATATTATTGTCTTTTCTCTATCTGTTCCTGTTGTAACTATTGACATTCTAGGTTTATAGTATATCACTCATATTATATATCAACCTTATCGTTGAAATTAGTAGTATAGTAATCGCAAAAATGTAAATAACAAAAAGCAAATATCGAAATAACGAAAATAAATGTTAAAATAGAGATGCATATATTTATTGTTAGGAAATCTAAATTATATTATTTGAACGTTATTTTCAAACGTTCTTTTTACTATCATGTTCTACAATATAGTTCATGCAGCACTATGTAACTACCTAATTAAAAATTCTTCAGATAAGCTTTTTATAGTTATTTAATAATAATGTTGAATGGTAGTGTATCTTGGATTTTGTTAAATGTAAATCGATAGTGTGCTGTAAGACTGTTTTACGTGATGTGCAAAATTATTTGCATATTATATATTATATTTAGCCAAGCTTTGTGTGGGTATAAAATGTTTATTTTGTATTGTACGGGGAAATATTTATATTTTCAGCTAAGGTCGTGATAATTTCAGAACTTTTAACTTCTAACTAAATTTTTACAAAAGAAGTTACATGAAAAAACGATATAGACTGTTGTAATTAAATTTACAATTATTTATTTGCTGTCGCATGGGAGAAACGACTTATTCTAAAGATATCTCTGGATAATATTAGGCTTTTTTTTAACTTTTTTATCTATTATAAAGAAAATTTGCCCTTATTGCGTATAGCCTTATATTTTTCCATGGAACTGTAATTCTAAAACCTGGAATGGATACTATTGTGTTGAAATTTATTCAACCCAATAAAATAATAATTGTGAAACTGATCCTAAACAGTCGCGGAGAATATATAGAAGATGAATACGAAGTAATATTTTTTTCATTATGAATATTCCATAATATCTTTTTTGTCGTATTTTATAGGAGACAGTGAAGTGCCAATACATCGTCTCACAAATTGAACAGCTTTTCTTAATGCTGTACCAATTTTTCTATAGCAATCCTTTTTTACTAACTAAATTAATTTCTTTCTTCGTTAGTATTTTCGTTCGTTCAATCTACCATAAAATTTTTTATGTTTTCGTCCATTAATTTAACTTTTTCAACTATCCACTTAACTAGTGATAACACTTCACTACAGTTAAGGTTAGCTTCTTCAGAATCTGAAGTAGAGGCTATCGGTAACGGTCAACCAAGTCTTCAACCTATCTTTGGATGAACATTAACCCAATCACAGTTAATCAACTAAAACAGGTGAAAAATAAATAATAATTTTGATATCTTGTAATAATATTACCCGAATAAAAAAGATTATTTCAACCGTCAGCTAGATAATCAAAATGTATTATCAACTTTATGCAGATAATCTCGGCTTAAAGTGCCGAAATTGATTTCCTACTTTCATCGATGTATCAGCAACAAAAGTGAACATAGGACTGCCCATTATGCTTCCACATACTTGTGAAAGAAGAACAACTTGCATGTTACGAAAAACGTATAGAAAAATCGTACTTTTTGCATACCTGTAATTTGTTTTTTTACTCATTTAAGCTATGTTTGACGTTCACAATTTTGGTCATATCCTCATCGACCTAATTTTCATTACTTTTTCTAGTCCATTGGTACCTATTATATAAACCAATGACCGGTGGTGCATTTTTCTCAAGGTATGTCTCCTTAGAAGAATGTAAGAAAGTAAGATCGTTAATACTTTCAAAACATCAAAACACTTATAACATTATAAGGAAGCTAGTAGTTTAACATAAAGAACCATCAATAACAGAGATATTTACAAAAATCTGAACATTAGGACGTACAAAGAAATATACCACTTTGCAAGAGGATTTAAAAAATATCAAAAAGTATTTCTAGAATCAACTACTATTGATTAAGAAAATATTATATTGAGTAATTGAGTATCTTGATGTGTGGTATGTATGTCATGAATTAATGATCTGTGTCCATGCCTTCTGCTCCAGATAATGACCTTAAATATGTACTTTTAGAATATAAGAAAATTAGGACGGAAGAATATTCTAATTCACACAATATAAAAATCTTCATTTTTTGTTGCGGATAATAACTAACTAATTATCTGTACATATTTAAACATTATCAAGTCAGTTACCACCAAACTTGCCACCTCCACCTCCTCCTCCTCCTCCGCCTCCGCCACCACCGCCGCCGCCGCCTCCTCCTCCAGGTCTAATTCCACCACCTCCTGGCCCAAATGGCGCAGTCAAGCCTGGCCCACCCCCTGCCCCTTTCGCACCTGGTGGAAGGTATGTGTTGTCTAAACGGGCAGCTGAGCAGATTCCCACCAGCAGGGTTGCGAGTATCTGAAACAATAAATGATTTCCTTAGTATCAGATAAAGCCAAGCTCTTCTTTATTTGTATTTATTATCTTTATCATGATAAGGATTTTGAATCTTTCGCTTTATGGAAAGCTAAATGTTTACTAATACATTTTTAGGTTTGGGAAGAAAATAGTTGGATTTTTAGTAAAATATGTTTCTAATTAAGTTTGCTGAGACAGATAGACAAGAGATGAACCAAAATAACACTTTGTTATAAAATAATAAACTGTTCTAGCAAATAATGAAGTAAGTGGCAGAAAATACATCATTTTCTTTTAGTGTACCTATTCGAATAGTTGACAATTAACATAACGAAAATAGGCAATTATGACAATCATTATATTGTCTGCAGCAGCGCGGATAATTACAAAAATATTGATGTTAAACCATGCTTTGAGGTTTTTTAACCACGATGCTGTTATTCTTTCTAGACCTCACGTTCCAAATGTATTTCCTTGCAGGATGACTTATAGGAGGTCACTCCTATAAATCTGAATTTATTTTGCATAATGTGTCCGAAGTACTGTAGGTTTGGAGATTTGACACAGAGAAAGTAGTAGTAAGAGAACAGAACAGAGAAGTAGTAGTAAGAGAACGATTATGGCTTTTGAAGATGGTTCTTATCCGGTTAAAGTTGGATCTAGCTTTTTCAATGTGCACTCTTATTTCCCGTTTGTTAGTTCAATTTTTCATGTAATAGGGTGTCGAGTTAGTTACAGTACATCACTCTTTCTCAGCTATTAGCCATTCTGTTGATATTTCTCTAGAGTTGTATATGTTGTTAAGTATCTTTGTAATTATTGTTATTGATTCAGTGTCCATTAGCTTAAGTAGTTCTGCTTGTATATTATTGGCGATTGCAGCATTACAATCCTAAGCTGTACTATAGTAAAACAAACTTTCTGCTTTTATATTCTTGATCCGTCATTTACCCGCTGTTTTAGCTCAAAGCTCTTATCAATGTGGCATTCAAACAGTTTTTGTAGGTATTTTTTCCATTTTCTCATTTTACTCTGCTTATCCAAGATGATGGTGCCATGGAACGTGCAATGCTGAACGTGAGCCTTCGAGACCACATAACAAACCAACAAATCAGGCGAAGATCAGGAGTTCAAGACGTCATCGAAAGAACCACGACGCTTAAGTGGAACTGGGCAGGGCACTTAGCCAGAACACAAGATGGACGGTGGACAAGACGTATTATGGAATGGAGGCCCAGAAATTATAAAAGAAGCCGAGGACGACCACCGACTAGATGGACCGATGACATTAAACGTGTAGCGGGAAACTGGCTACAAGCGGCCCAGTGTAGAGAACACTGGAAAGAACTGAGGGAGGCCTATGTCCAGCAGTGGACGCGATTGGCTGATTGATGATGATGATCCAAGATGATATTTAAATTAGAATTAGTTAGGTTTTCTTGATGTCTTCCTGTTAGTCCACCAGTATGTTCTTTAACTTTCATATGTATATTGTGACTATCGTTCTTTTATTGTAGGCTATCAATTTCAAGGAAACAGGGCACCAGGACGAAGAAGAATATCCTGGCTTCTTCGCATTTTGTCATACGCATATTTGTGCATAAAAAATTGATAATTTTTCCATTGGACCTCCTATCTCGTTTCTGACTCTAACTCCATGTGCTGTGAGGTATTGTGTGTCTGATGTCTAATCTCTAGCTTGAAACTTGGCATTGAGTCTCTTATAATGATAACAAGTTCCGGTACTGTGAAATTTTCTATATGATTCCGTTGATTTTCTTATAAAACTCAGTTCCTTCTTTCTCCTTTTTATACAAAAAATGAAGACAAAATATAACAATTAAAAAAACTGTATTCTGGGATTTTATGGGACGTTGAAAACTATTTTTTTAATTATTTTCTCAAAAATTTAAAATTTTGATTGTGACTTACCAGCCTCATATTTGACATTCTAAACTAAACCAAACCACAAGAACTGACTGATATCATTCAGTCTAATCGAGTATATATAGTTAATTACTGTCACAGCAACCCCACTCTGGATTTGAAATATTTAGAATAGCGAAACCAGATCGATTAATCCATCGTAAAAGTGCAAAGATGCACCCAAGATGCATCTTGCATCACGCAAGTATATTATTGACATTCCGAAGGAATGTAAGCATATCATAATCTAAGATGGTGTATTTTATATAGTTTAAGTAATAGTTACTTAGACTGTGAATGTTTGAATTCATTATGTTATAAAATTTCTATATGATTCCGCTGATTTTCTCATAAAACTCAGGTCCTTCTTCCTCCTCTTTATACCCAGCACACTTGGGACATATTTTATTTCACAACCAACAGTAACAGATAAGCTTAAGGAAAAAAGTCCCTGAAACAATATTTGCATCAAATTTGATGAGCTTTCAAGAAGTTGTTTCCTTATGTCTGAAGTCTTAAAAGTTGTTCTCTCTAAATACTTAAGCAATTTTTAGAACAGTGCTAGAGGGTATACACTCCCATATGTTCTGCTTTAGTTCTAATCATTATATATTATATAGCCAATATTCTTCTTCTTAATGTGCCTATCCGTTACGAATGTTGACGATCATCATGGCAATCTTTATCTGATCTGAGGTTCATTAACCAGATTCTGAGGTTCATGAACCAATATGTTCTTCTTCCTCCTAGATCTCGCTTTCCAAATATTTTTCCTTGCAGGATGGCTTAAATAACAGAATATCTGGATTCATTTCCCACAATATGTCCGAAGAATTGTAACTTTTGAGATTTGACGTGGTCAGTACCTCTCGGTTCTTATTCATTCTTCTGAGGACCTCCTTATTTGTGACTCGGTTAGACCAAGGGATCTTACGTATTCTCTGATATAGCCACATCTCAAATGCTTCCAATTTTCTGCACATATCATCGTTCAATGTCCACGATTCAACACCATAAAAAAGGACAGAGAAGACGTAGCATCCCAGCATTCTTACTTTTATATCAAGAGATAGGCTGTGAATCTTGAAGAAGGCCCCCATCCGATTGAAGTCGGATCTAGCTTTTTTAATGCGTGCTTTAATCTCCTAGTTGTTGGTCCATTCTTCATTTATTATAGTGCTTAGGTAGTTTTAGTGCGTCACTCTTTCTACAGGGGATTTTTTGACATAAAGTTGACCTCTGTTATCCTTTTCTTGCTAATTATCAGAAGCTTCATCTTCTTAACGACTATATTGAGTCTATATTGTTGATACATGATTTTGTTCATAAAAACTTGTAGATCTTCTAAGTTGTCGGCAAATACTATGGTGTCGTCAGCATATCTGATACTGTTTAGCCGGTTGCCATTTAGTAGAGATTCTAACTTTAGAGAGTAGAATCTAACTTTGAGAATAACTAAAACATGGAAAAAGGAATCTTCAGATATAGATGTTGAATGATTTATTTTCAACAGTTTGAGTAGTTTACGGATAATATTAGTTTAAGTGTTTTACTATAAATAATTTATTGCATTTTTCGTGCCTGATTATTAAACTTATTATAGAAATTCTAATTTCAAAAATATCAACCAGTGTTAGTACCCAATAAAGAAATTAGATTGTATCTAATTTGACAATTGCCTATCAAGGAGAAAACAACTGTTTGTAATATAATGCAGTTTTTCCAAATTTGTAATTGACGCAATTAGTCAACAAAGAAATAAATATCACTAACACAAAGAAGCGACTCCATAGACGACGAAAACAAAAATTACAGCACACCACTTACTAATGATGACCGATTAAATCAATTGGAATTTCTTTATCTAGAGGAGCTGTAAATAATTTAGTACATATACGAGTATTTACATACCAAAGGAGCTTATCCATGCTTAAGGTGATAATAAATTAGGTGTGCATTGTTGTCGAGAATATCGAGCGTTTGGGTAGATATAAATAGAAATTTAAAAACTTATTTATGTTTAATTTTCTCATAAGGGAGCAAATGTGGGAGTAAAAACTGGCTTATTCTTAAAAATAGGGTATGATAACAAATAGTTGTTTCAAATACAGTTGTGCCCAGAATTAACATTTTTCCTAGATACTTTTTCAATAGCTAAATAGGCTATAAAAGTATTAAAGTCTAAAAGAATCGAAAAACAATAATTTTAGACAAGAACATGTTTGGAATCCAGATTCTTAAAGTTATTTACTAGGATTATGGGCAACAGAATTACAAATAGATATCCATATAGTGTGGGAAAATATGCTACCTGGGCTGCAATATGGATAACTGGGATCATAACTACGAAATAAAAACTCGTATTGAATATGTCAGAAGATCTTTTAATGGTCTTAGGAAAGGGAAAGGTTAAAGAAAACCTTTGCTACTTATTCTTAAGTATTTAGATACGCAAAATAATTCTTAGATGCCACTAAGAATTCTTTGGTATCGTTTTCTATGGAGTAGAAAGATGTAGTTTTAGAGGAGATGCCATAAAACTATTACAGGTATTTAAAATCTGGTCCTGTCAATCTATGTTCAGAATCTCATATATACACCACACAAATAACGTAAATATTCTCCAGAGGCTAAGAAAAGACAAAGAAATGATTAACAAAGTAAAGATTAGAATATTTGTTTACTTCTATTACATCATGCGTATTACGAAATTCTAACTGCTGCAGTTAATTCTACAAGGTAAGAGTGGTCCTGGTCGCAGATATATATCCTGGCTGGTCTTGGTCCTTTCCTGGCTATATAGAAAAGAGACTGGTCGAACGTCAACTGTTCAATTTTGAGCTGCTGTGAATGAAGTCAATGTGGTCATCAACACCATTAGAAGAAAGGCATCTTTAGAAGAAGAAGTCAAATAGGGTGAATTTTTTAGACATGCAAATTAAATAAGCGTTATATGAAATATAACAGGAAATAACATCAATGACTAGATATAACAGAGAAACAATAAAAAACTTTAACCCAGTGATAAGGAAGAGAGGAAATCTGAAATACGGTGAAGTAGATAGGCTCGGTTTTGCAATGTTGGATAGAACTTCTTGTCAAAGTTGTTAGTATCACATTAACTTCATAGTATTAATACATTAACCAAAACTACGTTAAAGAATCGAAGTTTTGGTTTAAGAAATTTACATAACGGTATCGAAATAAACTCTTGAATTAATTTAAATTTGGACCTGCCCGTGGCTATATTGGATATGGCACAGTGTCACATCAAGTAGTCTCATTTAGTAAATACAGAAGCGTCGTTTGTGGCATATCTTTCGTCTTGTATATCACTGCTGTAACCTAATATTTGCAAATGGTTTTGTAAATTTTATACGGAATATGTAAATCGTATAATAAATGATTCTATAAAATGGAAAAAGGTTAATGTTGATAAGACCAAAGTTATGGACAGATAGAATATAGAAATATCAACTGAGAGAAAACCAGCCATTTATAAGATCTTATGTATATATCTATACCAATCTCTATAAAATCTAACTAAAGCAAATATTCTGAAAGGTAAAGGTATTTTAATATATAATCCTAAAACATTTACTGATAAACAAAAGAAATAGATAGAAGATAAACACATCAAATGTCTCTGAACGATTAGCGTATATATTGGCAAACAAAAAATTACTAGGTACCAACAATGTAGGACATTAAATTAATGTATCTATCATTCTTCTTCTTCATGTACCATGTCCTTTCAGAACGTTGGTTAGCATCATAGCTATCTTAATTTTATTCACTGCCACCCTACATAGCATGCTTGTATCAACACCATACCAATCTCACAAGTTCTTCAACCATGAGGTTCTTCTTCGTCCTGGACTGCGTTTGCCTGTTATTTTTCCTTGCATTTGGGATCTCTCATTACATATCCGAAATACTCCAGCTTCATCTGCTAGATGCTTTTTATGATCTCAGTAGTCTTGCTGAGACGTTCTAGTATTGTGGAGTTTCGAATCTCTTTCACCCAGGAAACTTTTAAAATTCTTCTACAGCACCACATTTCGAAAGGCTCAAGGCGATTTAGATCGATTTTATTCACAGTCCAAAACTCAAAACCATAAAGTAAGACAGAGAGCACGTAGCAGCGAAGTAGGCGGATCGTCAATGCCAATTTTAGGTCTCTGTTACATAACACCTTGGACATTCTTCTAAAAGCAGCTCTAGCCTGCTCTATTCTAGATGTAATTTCGCTGTTATTTTCTGCGTTAAAATTTAATTACTGTCCAAGGTAAAATATTTTATCAACTTGCTTAAGTTTGGTATTATTTACATATATAAATGGTTTTATCTGCTGTTGTTTACTTATTACAAGTATTTTGGATTTTCGTATGTTCAGATCCAGACTTGCCTTCCTACAACTCTTAACGACCCTATCAAGTAGTGTTTGCAGATTTTCTTGACTAGAAGCTGGGAGTACTGTAGCGTCCGCATATCGTAAATTATTGATGACTTCACCGTTCACAAGTATTCCTTCTTGTTTTTCAAAATCTATCATTGGCTTATAAAAAGAGCCCAAATTTGAATACTAACCAAGAAAGCGATATATTGATTTAATGAGACAGAAAAGAATAGATCGAGTGATGCAAGACCTTTACGCAAAAATCTGACTTAGAAAGAAACAAAGAGGAAATACGTAAGAGAAAAGTAGTTACAAAACTGAAGTGAGAGTTTACATGGCATATTGCAAGACGATAGAAAAACAAATAGAATACAAAAAGTATTAACTATAATATATGCAGACAGAAGAAATCGGGAAGGATCTTATCAAATTGTTATTGTGACTTTACAATGATGATAGACAATTTAGACATATATTATACATTTTATTGCTTTAGTGTAAAATAGTTGATTTAATTACATAAAATTTAGTTTAACTTAAAAGTATCCTTTAGAAAAATCATGGCATGTGATTCTTCTTTCAAAATACAACTACATGCCACGATGACAGTAAAATTACCCTGATAGTGATTCCATAGTAAATTATGAGGAAAAAACCAGGAAAATAACCTCATTTTTCACCAAGTAATATAAATTAAGAATCTATGAACGTTTTCCAGAAGTTTTATATTTTCAACTCCCAAAGATTTTTTGGAGTGCGCATATAGAACTATAAAGAAAGAAACTGTAAAGAACAAGAGGAAGATCGAAGCTGAGATACGTAGAACAAATAGAAAATGATATAACAACATTAAAAATTAAAAACTGAAAAAAAAAGCACGAAACAGGTCAGAATGGAGAAGAATACTTGAACAGGCCAAGACCCAAAAAGGGTTGTCGAGCCAGTGATGATGATGATATAGAACTATTAAAATATTATAACAAATTCATTTTATGGCATAAAGAACGTCTTATCTAGATTTAATGTCGTCTGGCCAAGATGTCCAGTTTATCAGAAAATGAGCTTTGTTGCTTAGTTGTGGATAAATTTTATTTGTTAGTTATTGGAGAGGCAGGTGGACGTTGCCAGACTGATTTGAAGTTATCACAAAAGAAACTATAAGTGAGTAAAGTGAACTAACAGTAAACAACAAAGTTATTGTGATGATATTATCTGAAGCGCCAATGTATTTAGGTTTTTTTGTAAAAACAATGACTTTACTAAATAATTAGTGAGTCATTTAATACACATACTATAGCATACATAATATTATATATACAATAAGCTAAGTTGTATATATAAGAGGATGAGTTTAAATCCCGTTGATTTGGCACGACACTATAAAAGCACGGCTATGAATTCGAATTTGATGCATGATTGACCATAGAAGTGATATCTATCGCTTTTGCAATAAACAGATTTCCTTCCATCCCCAGATATAGCAAACTCGTCTGATTAGTGAAAAGCAGAAAATGGAAATTTCTGATAATAAAATAAGGTATCTGAAAGACATTCTGGATCAAAAGTGGATCAATTTATTCTAATGTGCTAAGTATAGATAGTTTCCTTTAATATTGTTTGTAAGTTTAAAAATTATTGCTAAAAAGAAAACTTGTCCAAAAATAATAGTCAGCTCAGCTTAGGACATAATAAAGGAAAAATGCTTATAAGCTGTAAAGACAACTCCACATAAGCTCCAGAATTTATACTTTCCTTTTATGGAAAGCTTTAGTAGACAAACTGTATAATAGACAAAACACAAAGACAAAATATAACAATTTAAAAAAAAAATAAATATGGGGTTTTGATATGTTGAAAATTATTGTTTTAATTATTTTTTCAAAAATTTCAAATTTTTGAATGTGACTTACCAGCCTCATATTTGACATTCTAAACTAAACTAAACCACAAGAACTGACTGATATCGTTAAGTCTTATCGAGTATATATAGTTAATTGTTGTCACAGCAACCCCACTCTGGATTTGAAATATTTAGAATAGCGAAACCAGATCGACTAATCCATCGTAAAAGTGCAAAGATGCACCCAAGATGCATCTTGCACCACGCAAGTATATTATTGACATTACGAATGGCGGAGGAATGCGAGCATATCACAATCTAAGCTGGTGTGTTTTGCATAGTTTAAGTAAAAATTTGTTAGACTGTGAAAGTTTTTAATTCATTGTTATAGATTTATGAATGGTTATAAATCGGGTTACACATTTTCTTAGAGGAATCGTGTGCATTAAAAATTCTTGGCGGGTAAAACTAACAAATCATCAATTGTTGCTAGAAAAGGTACAACATATTTCGTCATTTAGACTGATTTCTGAGGTTATAATTTTTATGATATATTAAAATAAATTATTTTTTTGAATTTTTATTTTTATATTGGATTTAAAAGGATTGATTGACAAAATTGTCAGAGAAAAAATGTAAAATTAGAAAATGTCAGACGAAACAGCAATAGACTATCAGTAAAAAATGCTAAAACAAAATATTTTAAATTTAATTTTGGTTTTATTTTTAGTTTATATTTTATTTTATAACACATGTAAAGATATATATTGACAACTTGACAGTTGGCCAAAATTTAAACAAATTTTTTTTAAATATTTCCGGGGAAAAATTCAACAATTACAAATCAACAAAGAATTGCAAAATGGAAGATACAATTATTATAGGATGGTTATCTCAGAAAAAACATACCCACTACAAGTATATAATAGTGCAACACATTTACAATAATACAAAGAGAATATCATAACCGACGCTCTCACAAGAGATGAAGACACAGAAAAAAAGGTAACTGTTTCGTTAAATGTGAGACTAGACATCTTGACTCAAGAGTAAATTATATTTTCTTTAAATGAGATATGAACAAATCAAGAATATCTGGAGGAAAGAGAAAAAAGAAGAGTAGAGAGGAAAAATGACATATTTTTCAAAAGAATAGACGAAAAAGAACTGTATTTGGTGGCACAGACATTGGCAGAGAAAATTATAAAGAAATAACATGAGGACAATGGACATATCGGAAGCAGGTAAGTTTAGTTAGTTTTTCGAGAAAACTATATCTGCCGACAAGACTACCGCATTGCTAAGGAAATCACCAAAAAGTGTGAAACTTATCAAAGATATAAAAGTAGAAACTTCAATAATGAAAATATTGCAAAAATTGTTGTATCCAATAACAAATTGGACATTGTAGCAATAGATATGTTGAGTGATCTAATTATGACGACCCAAAGAAATAAACATATTTTGGTGATGGATGATGTTTTTTTAAAGTATGTAAAATATCATAGTTGCCATGCCACAAAAGGAGGACAGATAATGAGAAAGATCGACAATTTTATAGCCACCTTGGGAACACCAAAAACAATTTTATTAGACAATGCAACGTATTTTCGCAATGACCGTTTCAAGAGACAGCTGACAGAAAGGGGAATAGAGACAAACTTTGTTAGCATCCGACATCCTCAGAGCAATCCTTCTGAACGATTTATTCAGGAAGTGACAACACTTCTTCGGATTGCGACAAATGGGCAACATTGGAATAGGAAAGTAGAGGAAATAGAGAATTATCTAAACACCATTCCGAGTACGGTAACAAAAGAGACCCCGGAATACATTATGAAACGGGTAATGCCGATAAGACCATGAGAAGAGCCGAGAGAATAATAACAGGTGCTGAAAACGGTACAGAGAAGGTTACGAAAAAGCAATGAGAAATATATCCGAAGGCAAGATCGAAATAGAACACGAAGACCAGTGACTTTTCAGTGGCGAAAAGGTGCTTATAAGGGCATTATGAGTGTCAAATATCGCAAATTATAATTGTACGAAGTTATTGCCAGTTTACGAGGGTAATTGCATAGTAATTAACGAAAATGGAATAAATAGCTATGTTCTAAGACATGTTGATTCAGAAAAGATCAGAGAAGTGTACAACATTTACGATGTATACAAACATTACGAGTAATGGAAGGAAAATAATGAAATTACTAAAGACAAGGAACTATACAGGGAATTTTGTTTGCCCCAATAAAAAACAGTTGCAATATGCAAATAATTTTTATTGTTTACGAAGGCATGATACTAAAACATATCGAAAATAAAATAAATTTTTATTTTAAAAATACCATGTGATGATAAATATTCAAGATCCTGTGTAGGTTAAAAATTTATAAATATATTGTTTTATTTGTAATAAGTGTTTTGGGAGAACAGTGGATTTAAAACTGTGAATAGTTTCTAAAACATTTGTATAGAAAAACAATTCAGGATTATTTAGAAAATAAAAAAGTATTGTTTAAAATTTTACAAATAATTATACATGGTTTTGTAGCAGATTTTGTAATGGATGTTATCTTTTACAAAGAGGCATTTGCCTGTAGCAAAACAAAAGAAAGCTTAGTCGATATCATATCCTGTCAATTGGGGGGAAAACCAATTACAGTAAACACGTTTGATTTCTTGAAATTTAAAATTAGGAAAATTTGAAGTTTGGTAGTGCGATGAATCTGTATAAATCTCTGACGGTCGACTTGAAAATTAAACCAGGAGATTTGAATCATTGTGTTTTTATGATTCAGAACGAAAAGTCCACTTTAAGAACAGTATGTGGAAAAATTATTGTATTTTTAAAATCAAGTCCACTTTAAGAACAGTGTGTGAAAAAGAAGTATAAGTATTTTTTGTGTGAGTTTAAGTTGGTGAGCAGAATAGTTGTAGACGGATCGAGACCCAGATCGAGAATCTCAAACTCCTTGTGTCCAAAAAGACTCCTAATTCTATAAGAAAAGGAAAAAAGTTATATAAAGTTTGTACGAGATAACCATTAGAGGCGAGAGACGAAATTTGCGGAAAGAGTCCCATTATAATTATTTTTAAACGGGTCGGAGGTGTTTTTTTTAATTTGGAAAGAAACTGAACGAGCGCTGTTTTTGTGTAACAGTTTTTGAAGGCAGGAAGCGGAGCCACACGTGGTTTGGAAAGTTGGACAGTATTTCGGGAATACAATCCGGAAACTAAGTCAGTATCTGTTGGGAGACATCGCAGAAAACAAAACAAAAAAGGTCAGTCAATTTGTTTGTGAAATAATCATTGTATGTACACCATATATTTTATTTAAACTCATATCATAAAGCAATTGATAAAAAAGAATTATATTCTAAAGAATTGAATTGATAAAGATTGTATTAGGTGACATGAATACAAGAATAGTACGAGAGCGAGTTTTCATGACCGCGATAGGAAATCAAAGCCTACACAACATCAGTAGCAACAATAGATTACAAATAATAAACTTAGTAGCAGCACTCAATATGACAGTCTCTAGCACCAATTTTAAACACAAGAACATACATAAGGTAACCTGGACCTCACCTGAGAAAGGAACAACGAGTAACATCTTAATTGATTCAAACGGAATATCCACAAGCTGAGAGATGCGACAATTGGAGAACAGTACTCGGAAAACATCATCAATGGGCTAAAAAATCAAAATGTAAATGAAAAAGGCCAGACAGATATAGACTCTTACTGGACCAGATTAAAGGAAGACAATAAAGCAGCAGCGAAGAAGAGGTAATCGGAACAAAAATTTCTACCGTAAAAATTATTGGTTTGACAGTAAATGCAAGAACATAACAAGGAAAAAAATGAAGCCTAAAAAAGATGTTTACCCGACGAACTACAGCAACTGCAGAAAATTATCAGACAAAGAAAAGAAAAGAAAAGAGAATACATAAAAGAAAACTACCGAAACCGCCTAAATGAGGAACTTAAATGTATAGAAACCTTCAACAGATAGAAAGAATTCAGAGAATTCTATAAGATAATTAACACCAACAAAAAAGAATTCGAGGCCATAATAAGACAATGCATAAATCAGAATGGAAACCTATAAACAACAAAGAAAGATATATTGAATAAATGGGTGGAATATTTTATCCAGGCACTTAATATAGAGAAAGAAGAAAAAACTGGAAGACAAAAGAGATAAGGTAAGGGTAACAGACAAGAAAAGAACCACCAACGATTCTTTAAGTTAAAGATGCATTAAAAAACTACCTAGAGAAAAATCATTCGAAATAGATAATCCTCCAGATCAACTATAAAAAGAAGGTGACCATGATACCATTATGGCATTGTAGCAGCTTACAAAAGAAACATGAATAGAGAAATCCCTCCCCAATGATTAGAATATTGGAATAATTTGCATCATACACAAAAAGGAGATATCTTTAAATGCTTTAACTACAGAGAAATTAAGCTTCTAGATGCAGCGTATAATAGTATATTACATAACGAGAGTTATAAGAAGCTTATTACATGCAAGTAAAAAAGTTAATATTACGTTATGTAATAAGTAATAAGTTATTATAAGTAATTTTACAAGCATGTAACAAGCTTACAACTCAAGTTGTGTACTATACTTTTTCTACGAATATTTTCGTTTATAAAAATAATAATTAGATTACCACTATATTTACACTGACAGATTAATAATTTTTAATCTGTCAAAATAACGTCTGTTAATTCGTTTCCATGGTACCTCCACCAACTGACTTACGAGGCTTATGTGATATTACACATTTTTATAAAACTGAAGCGTAATTTTTTTTATTACGTGCTAGTCATTACGTGTCATTATCTGTTATGATGCATTTACTTAGCATCCAAATAATAGGTTATATACAATTTACTAGTAAGAGAGTAAAAAAAATATTTTACACAGTACTATATACTATATACTATTACAAACTTATGTCACAACTTTTGTAGGTACTTTTTAAGGTTTCCGTATATATTATGAAAATTAGTTTTTTCTCAATTTGTTTTAAACTGCTTCTTCTTCTAGTTCCATAACCGGTATTTATCGTTGGATATCATGTTGGC